GTGATGATGGTGATGGTGATGATGCTATAGATGTTGGTGGTGATGTTGATGATGTTGATGATGGTGAAGATGATGTTGGTGTTGATGTTGATGATGGTGATGTTGTTGGTAGTGATGATGACGATGTTGATGATGATTGTAATCATGATGATGATGATGGTGATGTCGCTTTGCGTTCCTTGTGCTTTGTGTTCCCAGGTCTACAGCTGACGATCGTCTCCCAAAAGCACGGCGCCATCCATGTGCTACACGTGCATCGTGGCGCGTGTTCGTGCGCCTCATCGTGGCGTGCATGGACACTTGGAAAAATGGCCATGCTGCTGTACATCACATACATTTGAGCAAAACCGCGCTCAAAAACGAGCCAAAACACGCGTTCAAAAACGACCACCTTTCCACACCCTACACCGGGCGCATCTGAAACAACAGCCAGACCACAACTTCAAAAGAAAACAGCTAGCGCTCTGGTATCAGCTTTCACTTTGCCGGCCTGATGGCGGCGTTCCCAAAGATCGTCTTGCGAGCTGCCTCGAGACCTTCGTTGAAGTCCCCATGGATCTGATTCACTCGAGGCTTGATGTCCGTGCCAGTCAAAGTCTCCACAGCCCTGAAGAGAGACTCAAACAAGCAAACCCATGTCTCAGCAGACTCCGCCTTCGCGGCAGTGGAGAAGAACCCATACACTAACTCCACATACGAGATGCAATGTCCGGACCTGCCCCAGCACGCATCTGACACTAGCAAGCCAAGTGAAACGAAGGCCGCGTCCTCCCGCACAAGGCGATACACTCCATCTCCGCAGAGAGAAATTGGCCCTGTTGGAAGCTTTCGAAACAAAGCGCCTCAGCGACGCATCAAACAAATGGCCTCAAGACCTGATGCGCCGCCGCCATTTCCTGTAGGGTTTCGCTTAAGAAACTATATAAGCGACGGTCGAAATTATACACAAGCCCTGCCATCAATTGTGGGGGTGCCTCGCCACTCAGGAAACCGTATCGCTGCACACTGGTTTTGACCTGTTATGACGGCGCGAATAGAAAGCTCTTCATACCCTTTTCTTATCCCGGCACATATACTATTTTAAAAGCATGATGAGCAAGCCACGCATAAAATCTGCTGAGCTTGGCAAAGTGCAAATCAAGCGAGGGGACACCATCACCCACTGCAGAGCCGGCTGCGCCGCGTAGTGCGCCAGAGCCATTTCAGCTGCTGCCGCGTCAAAGTCTGCCCGGGTCCACTCAAGCGCGGTCACGCATTTCCAATCGGCATCTTCCTGGAGCGCAGCATTTGCAACTAACACAGACGGCTGGAAGACAGCCAAGCTGTTAGACACCAGGTACGGAATTCAGTTCTGATACCTAGCACTGCGTTTACGCAAAACCCTGCACTAATTCTGTTCCAGTCCTTGTCTGACCTCTTGATGTAGTTCCTGATGTAGTTAACCACTACGGGCTCTTTCGCAGGCTCATCGTTTGGGAAGGCCTCCTGCAAGCGGATCATGACATCCGCTATCTTGTACCGCTTCTCCGACTGCAGGAGCTCGCGCAGGAAGGCCTTCTGCCGGTCCATCAAGCCTGAACGCTCTCCGTAGCGCTTGTTGAAGCCGTTGTGCCTGGCAGGGACCGAGAGGCACACACATCGCGGTGGAAGAAGGCACGTTTCCAACTGGCCAAATGAATGTTTCTGAAATCCCCATGCAGGTAAAACCACACGTTCTGATAACACGTAACCTTCCGCGAACTTCCGCTCGCCCTTGCGCGGTCTTCCGCGACCACAGCGCCGTAACACCGAATATGCTTTCGTACTCAGTCCTTACCAAACAAAAAGTTTTTGGTCGATCCTCATATATATCTATATATATATATATATATAGCGCAGTCCTGCATATTTCTACATAAAGATGCAAACCGAGGTCACCTGCAATGCCGCAAAAAAAAACCCACGCTGCACGCTTTCCAAAAGAGGCCGGCCTTTCAGGCGCCAACCCGCGGATCTCCACCCGCCCATCTGCAAGACGGTACCTCGCAGAGCCCACCCAGGGGCAGCTCGGGCAAGTCAAGCACGTCAGACGGTCTCTGAAGGTGTCATCCCTGCGAGCTGACTGCTTTTTGCAGCTGATCTCAACCACCTCGTTGGGCACAAAATCTCTCACAACACGTCGCACATATTCGCGGAAGTCAGCTGAGTCCATGTCAGGGGAAAACCCCACATGCAGGACCTGGAAGTCATTGGAAGCCGCTGCACCGCCGGCCGCAGCTGCAGGTCGTCGGATGAGACGGGGCGCAGCAGCCGGTCGCTTCATTGCACAGGCATCACCCTGCTGTGGCAGGGATGGCTGCAGCCATTGTAAATTCAGCCCACACACACACACCCACACGCACACGCACACGCACACACACACACAGGCTCACACATGCAAACAGACGCACGCCTACACACACACACACACACACACACACACACACACACACACACACACACGCAACCACATACATGGACTCACCAGCATACATAGTAACATATGTCATGAAACATACACGTCACATATGTCATGCGATATACACGCCAGCAAGCACAAACAAGCGCATTCCTGCTCGCGCATGCGCGTATATAAACATACATCGCGAGGCAAACATATCAAAACGCATGCATGCGCGACAAGGTTTCTACCAAAAAAGCGATCCCGGAGCGATCCATTTGCGCGACGCCTAAGCGAACCATTCGCGCGACGCCTAAGCGACCCACTGCCCGCGTGCGTGGGCGGGCGTGCGTGCGTGCGTGCGTGCGTGCGTGCGTGGGTGGGTCGTGCGTGCGTGCGTGCGTGCGTGCGTGCGGGCGGGCAGGCGCGTGCGTGCGTGCGTGCGTGTGTGCGTGCGTGCGTGCGTGCGTGCGTGCGTGCGTGCGTGGGTGGGTGGGTGTGTGTGTGTGTATGTGTGTGTGTATGTGTGTGTGTGTGTGTCTGTGTCTGTGTGTGTGTTGTTTTTGTGTTTGTGTGTGTGTGTGTATGTTTGTGTTTATGTTTGTGTGTGCGTGTGTTTGTGTGTTTGTGTGTGCGTGCGTGCGTGCGTGCGTGCGTGCGTGGGTGTGTGGGTGTGTGTGTGTGTGTGGGTGCGTGCGTGCGTGCGTGCGTGCGTGCGTGCGTGCGTGCGTGCGTGCGTGCGTGCGTGCGTGCGTGCATGCGTGGATGGGTGGGTGGGTGGGTGGGTGGGTGGGTGGGTGGGTGAGTGTGTGTGTGTGTGTGTGTATGTATCTGTATCTCTATGTGTCTATATGTCTATGTGTCTGTATATCTATATATCTATATATCTATGTGTCTGTGTGTCTGTGTGTCTGTGTGTCTGTGTGTCTGTGTGTCTGTGTGTGTGTCTGTGTGTCTGTGTGTCTGTGTGTCTGTGTGTCTGTGTGTCTGTGTGTCTGTGTGTCTGTGTGTCTGTGTGTCTGTGTGTCTGTGTGTGTGTGTCTGTGTGTGTGTGTGAGTTTGTGTGTTTGTGTTTGTGTGTGTTTGTGCTCAACCCCTTTCTTGTCAATTGATTCCACTTTAAGGGACACCCCAAACAAAGCAATCGACACAAAGAAAAAGGTGCCCAAAAAGCATATGCTTGAAACCGCCGTGAAAGAGGAACACGAGTAGCCAAACTAAGAATATCGCCTTCGGAAAGGGACAGCCACTCCAAGCAACTGCAAAACCAGGAGACTACAAAGCGCCACCTCAGTTGCACTTCAAGGGACCCCCCTCCAACAAAAAGGGACAAGAAAAAGAAAGCACAAATACAACTGTGATCCAGCTCTGCGCGGAATCAGCAGGTCTCGACCCGTAATTTGGTTGAACTTCGAAACAATAACCCACGTCAAAGGTGACAATTAACAACACAAACAATCGGAACCCAGATGACAAGGCAACCCCAAAACCAAAACATGAAACCTGAACAAGCCCCATCTCCGCAAATCCCTAGTCAGATTGGAATCACCCTCCAAAACAAGCACACAAGCTGGGCTGCGCAGAACAAAGTCCTGGCCAATGCTGGCGTGTCCTGATGTCTAATGATATATCATGTATATACTATGCGGTTGGTTCTCTCATTTGTGGATCTGAGAGCTTTCGTTTGAAACCCACTTCTTACTTGCGCAACCCATCTTACAAGGGTCCGGAGTTTTGATGCACAGGGCAGGATGGTGGCTTGCGTATGGGGTGTGTGACAGTGGTCCTACTTTGCCACTTTGGATGCTTTATATAACTATCAGTTTATAGCTTCGGGAGTGATGTGCGGGTGTCTGTGTGTGTGTGAGAAGCGAAGATATGGTGAATCAACTGTCCGCGCGCCATACATGGGCGCGGATCCCTGCTAAAAGCAACGATATATCATAAGTAGCCAAGAAATCGAGACTGCCTTTGTGTCTCTGTTTGAAATGCTTCTGGTCAAACGCGTCCTAAGCACATGCTTGAGCAACAATAATTACGCAATCGGAGACCAAGGCGCACGCCAGCAAAAAAACGCTGAACTTCAGGCAGCAAAAAGGGCTGAGAGATCCAACAGCTTTGTCTTTGACCCGCTGCAACTGCCACAAATGTAGCAAGTCAAGCTTGTTGCTAGCTGGCATGAGAAGCATTTGACGGTTGGGGTACCAGATCCCCAAGCTGCTGCTTTTTGGGCACTTGGAATCTTGCACGTGATTGACCAAGCTGTTGGGACCCGGGTGCTATGTTCAAATTCAGTCGGGCAGACGCGACGAACCTCTAAAATTTGATTCTCCATTCTTTTCACCCATCCTTCTTTTCCAAAAGCCATTTTTTTGCAGGGTGTTGGGTGGTTTTGTAGAAACAAATCGGATGCCTGGAAAGGATGGAAATGGAAGGTGCCCCTAAAAAACCTACTGCCGTTTGTTTCGGCGTTACCGGTTTCTTTTGGCGGCTACCGCTGGCTTGCCGTTGGGACCCAGGAGCTATGTTCAAATTCAGTGGGGCAGACGCGAAGCGAAGCGCAGGGATCGGGTCGGGTCGCATGAGGCCACTTGGGGCTCCATCTTCACCACCGGCCGAGGGCTCCGCAGGTCCCGCAGGCCTGCAGGGGCCAGGAAATTGGCCGGGAGCCGTCCCCGTTGTGCTTCCCCGGGAAACGGCTGTGGGTCAGACCGTGCCCAAAATGGAACACTGGTAAATGGAACCGAAGACTAAAATCTGCGGTGAGGCCCCTGGTGGTTTTATTTTGACCCATACCCATGTTTACTTCCAGCAATGATAGATTCCCTTTAAAACCAAGGGGGGAAAATAAAACATATTCTTCAGCGAATGGAAGATTGGGCCAGCTCCCCGCAAAAAGGGTGGTTTGGAGGTGGTTTGGAGGTGAGAGGGGGTTCGTTTTGCCCTCCGCAAGAACCAAGGGTTCACATCCGAGGAAGAAAACAACAACCTAAACCACCAATCGAGGCTTACCTGATTGGGCGCCCGGTTTCTGAAAGACAAACACAAACAGCAAACGGGTCTGTCTTTGGTGGGCTCCTGTTTTTGAGCTGGCGCAAAGACAAGCCGAAGGAAAGCCCACCCTTTCTTGGGCTCCCTATTTTCAGACACCAAAAGACGAGCCACGTGAGCCTAGGGACCTAAAAGCCATGCGCAAACACAACTGCCTTGATGGAGCTTAAGCCAAAAACAAAAACAACTACGCCAAACAAATCTGGGAGGAACACTTGACAAGGCCGGAGCAATGGGCCCTATGCAGAAGGGAACACTTGTTGGTCTGTCTTCGAAAAGGACCCGGACACAGGCAAGCCAGGGAACACAACAAAGGAGCCACGAAAAGCAAAGGAGGAAAAACGCATGGTTGTTGGCTCCTGGAGTGTAATTGCTTGCTAAATACTGCGCACTTATAGGCAAGATGCCAGTAACGTAGGGCCCTTTTGCAGCTTTTGAACATGCTCCAAGCACTCAAGAAAAGTGTGTGAACGTTCAAACTACCAAAGGGGTCTTCCGAAAAAACCGAAGGCCAAGAGGCAACGACCCAACACCTCCTTGGCGCGTTTGCGGTTTCGGGCGACATCAGTCGCGCCGCCTAGAGCACGACTCATCTGTACGCCCTCCTTCAGGAGCGCCTGCGAGGTAAAGACTCGTCCTCACATTTGGAGGCCCTGATATGGCAGTGGTGATCAAAAATAGGGTAACCCTCAAATGGCTTGCTGTGGTAAATGGAAACCAGAACCAAAACCTGCTCTTGTCAGATTCCCGGTGGTTGAACTTTGGCCCAGACCCATTTATATTCCAGGTACTTGCTATATCAAATGGGAGCGACAACAAGGCGCACGCCTGTTGACAACAATTGAGAACCATCGGCGTGCAACTGAGTACGACCTCGCATCCGGGGACCTTGAAAGGTAAATTCCTGGCGCTCGCGGCAATCTTAACCAACCAACGAAGTTGGCCCAAAACACATTCTAAACAAGTTGCTTGGAAAAAGACAAAGACACACATCTTTCAGCTCACCGCAGGACCCGCACCACATCAAACCCTGTTCACTATGCATTACATTGAGGGGAATTCAATGCCTGCACCTTCAACACACGAACCACCAGTGACTAGTGTCCAATGATCGCGTCAATTTCTAGCATCTTGAAAACCCAACCCAATTCAGAGAACCGACCCACAACGCGTACTTTCCTGGACGCAGCACTCGTTTCTTTCAATTCGGGTTTGTCTCTAAGCGGAAACGGCCCGAACTAGCATGTGGTTCCCGTTTTCCTCCCTTAAACCAAAACACACGGGTTAGCCTCAAAATTCATACCTCCCAATTAGGTGTGTCTTTCTTTGAGGGCCCCTTTGTTGGGCTTAAGGCAACTCCCGGTCCCCGGTGTTCGAACTTCGTTTTGTAAAGTTACCTCCTTTTGAAAAGGTGACTTTTAAAGGACTACCAAAAGGAAAACTTAAACCCCGCCATTCTTGAGAGCTCCGCTCACAAGAAAGCACAACCACCAATTCTGAGCGGTGCCCCAAAGACAGCCACACCCGTTTCATTTTTTGAGACACGTAGCGTATCTAGGTCCTCCAGTAGAGAGATTAGAATAAGGTACCCTTTTTTCTGTAGTCTGTTTTAGTAGGGGAACCCACAACCCCAAAAAGAGAAACCGCAAAACGGCACTGGGGGACCTAGGTATGCGTCGCTTCCCTTTCCGCCTCCACCCGGGGCAAGGACTCCACAGTGCACGGCCGCGCCATGGTGCGCACCGCCTCGTCGCCTCGAAGAGATGAGTCGCTTCGGCTACGCTGGGAGAAGACCCGAAGAATGGCAAGGGTTCCGTTTGCTTCCCCTTTTTTTGAGGGTACTCTGCAAAACGCCCGGGTATTCTTCCATTTGTCGTTTTTCGCCCCCTGGAAAGGAGGACAACATATGTCCAGTAGTGATAGATTCCCTTTAAAACCAAAAGGGGGAAATGAAACAAATATTCGTTTCAGCAAATGGACGCAAAAACGCAAGCTGTGGATGGTTGCGAAATCCGGCTGCTCAAAGGGGGCTCCCAAATGCGAGGGGCTGTGTGTGTTCAGGGCTCAGCTACCCATTTTCTGGCTGGTAGGGTGTCCTACTGTGGATGTTGTCCTACTATGGTGTCCTCCCGGGGATGAGTCGATTCCCCATCGTAAATACCAAGCGTCGTTGTGGTTTCAACCATGATTTCATTTCGTGGTGCGAAGGGATGTCGCCAGCATCCACAGTATTGCAGGATCGAGGTCCTGTTTCCCCTAAAGGCTATCCTAAACCAGGCCACCCAGGTATATTCTAAAAAAGCAACACACAAGGAAGACTCGAAGAATTGCAGGTCTTCCTTTTCCTTCTTTGAAATTCAACCGTTGCAAAAGGCCCCTTGGCATCTTTTTCTTCAAGACACATACCAGGCCCTGGTTCGTAGCCCTAGGCTCGCGGCTCCGGAAGCGGAAGCGGATTCAGCTGAGTGCCCTGGCAGATTGCCTCCGCCTGGCTGAAGTCCTTGGAGAAGGCCTGGGGGTCTTGGGTTTGATTTGGCGGTTTTGGGCAAAATCCAAATCGTAGGTTCACTAAAATAGGCTCTGAAATGGGTGGAATCCAACCACTAAAATAAAGTACAATGGGTTGGCTAAATTCAATCCAACCACTAGTGAATTCACCTACCAAAATGGGATCCCAGAACGGTTTTGACACGCAGCCATTTCTGTTAGTCCCATTCCGTTCTCTCCGATGCCCGGTGGATGTCCACGGGAAGAAAGGAAAAGAGCATCCGATTTTTTGGGTTGGTTGACTTTAAAGGATTTGGGCCCAAAAAAGTGAAAAATGGGCACCACCAATGGGCACCACTGCCCATTTTGCCATTTCCATTCCCATTTTTTTGGGGTTCTTGGAGATGTCATCAGTCATTGGCGCCTCATGAAGTCCCTGGAGAAGGCCTGGTTTCTTGTTCACCCTGTTGAAGGGCGTGAGTTTCGCTTCACCCCCAGTCTGGTTTTGGGAATGAGGGAATGAGAAATGGAATGAACCCCCTAGCCTGTTCTTGCTGGTGCGATAGGTAGGCAATGAGAAATGGAAATGAACTGGAAGGGGATTCCCGAAGAAAGGAAACCACCAGTTGGATGATTTTGCTTGGGGCTCATTCAATGTCTCATTCCCTGCCTATCACAGCTGCAAGTGTTTGGTCATTTTCACCCCAGGCCGTTGGGAGGGGTCAGGTTCCATGGCGACATGGGACACACACACACACACACACACACACACCCCGGCCTTTTGGAGGGGTCAGGGTCTGGTTCCATGCCTACAGTAGAAGGGTTAGATGGAATGAAAACCAGCGCTACGCCAACTAAATCAGAGTAAACAACCTAAGGGGCGGGATGGCTGGGAACAGCGTCTAGCCTTTTGGAGGGGCTGTCTCTCTCTATGTCAAAGAAGCGGCTTTCCATGCAGGCACGACAGCACATACAGTATAGAAAACTCAGGTTCTCGTGCCTGCAACTTCGCAAACTTCTTCTTCAGCTCTTTGGCAGCTTTCGCTGCTTCCTTCTCCTCAGTCTCTGCCGAAAAGCCTGGAAGACCCGAAAAGATACCCGTTGATTCCTTGACCACGTGGACACCGCAAGCTCACATTTCGCCGATAACGGGGAAGTTTGTGAGCAAAGGCTTGCTGGCAACATCAAGCACATAGGCAGCAACCCGACCTAAGAAAAAGAGCTTGAGGCCCTTGCACCCGAACAGGAAAATCAATATTGAATCTGGAAATATTATCAGAGCTTGGGCCCAACTTGGCTGCTGTGAACCTCTGGACATGCTCACGAGACGTTCTTAGCTTTCGTAAACTCGCATATTCAGATTCTGGTCTACATGAGCGAACCGCAAACAACATGTCACTTGAGAGTCTTGAGAGGTCCGTGTTTGGGACGGTCGCACAAAAGCTGCAGTAAAGTTTCGATCTCCTCAAGGATGGAATCCTCGGCGCGGATCGGGGCACGCCAGCTTCAGGAAATACGGTTGCTTCACCAAGGGCGTGCAAGTACCCCACACAAGCTGGCTCGGATTTTAATTGGCTCTGGGATGAAGGTGGGCTGTATGTGTTGACCGTGCAAGAACCCGGTGCCAAACAAGAAACCAGCCAGGTTGGTTTCCGCTGAACAAAAGCCCTTGAGTTCACGGCATGACCAAACAAAACCAAACAAAACCAAACCAAGTCGTTGAGACGTTGCCTTTGCTTATCCTTCTTTTTAGCTAGGAGCCCCAAGCACAAAAGAGGTCTGTCAACAGCTTGACGCCCCCCTCACACTTTGGCCTGTAGACAAATAGGTTGGCGACAAGCTGAAGCTTGAAGCTTCAAGGTTTATGTCTCCCCTTTCAACATCAGAAGGAAACCAGGCCATGGACCGCCAAGCCATGATGGCCTGTTGAAGTTATATTTTTTAGCACCCATAGTCAATGATGGCTCTAGCCAAAAGAATCAAACCGGAAGTGCCATCATGCGCCATCTATGTTGAAACAAATGGGCGTGTCGTTTGTTTAGAGCATCCCAACATGGATTTCGGTGCTCCTTTGGTTTTCCCTTTAAAACCACTCAAAACAGGGGTACCCACTCCAAAAAAGAAGCTTGGCTTCGGTTCTCCTTTGGTTTCCGTTTCAAACCACCAACGAAATGTACCCACTCCAAAACAAACAGGCCCAAATTGACCTAGCAAAACCTGTCGGATTTGGAGCCCCCTTGCCCTTCGGACAGCCGGGGGGCAGAGGCGGGTGTCCAGTCCACATTGAGCAGGGCTGCGGCGCCCGAGCGGGTGTGAACCTCCCGAACAGCGAGGTGCGAGGTTCGAGCGCCTGTTGGGTATGTGGATGACGACACCCCAACAAAAACCGAAGCAGTTCCGAAGCTGGGTGGCTCGTCGATTTTTTTGGAGTCGCAGTTGCCTTCTTCTTTGTGGTTTCAAAAGGGGAAAACTGTAAACTCCCAAAACACTCCGAAGCTGGGTGGCTCGTGGATTTTTTGGAGTCGCTACCCTTCGTGGTTGGGGGTTGATTGGGAAACCAAAAGGAAAACCATTGTGGGAGAACAACCTTGAAGACACACCCACAACAACCCCCCAAAATTGTGTTCCCTTTCTTTCCCTTTCAACCAACCAAACAGGTCCCCCACAAAAAACACGCACCCAACTGTCGGATGGCTGCGTTTCTCATTCACTTTTGAGTGCCCTCTTGGGTGGCAACAGAGAATTGGTGGCTTCCAAAAAATGTTTGCAAACCCAGAAGGGTTAGGGGCGTTAACCAACTCCAATAGCACACAGAATTGGACAACCCTGGCGGAAACACAGAAAACTGGTCAAATCCCCAAAGCCCCAGAACTGACTTTGGGCACACTCTGCATTTGGCCCGAGCGTTTTCTTGTGCCCAGAGGCTCCCGATTGATTTAGGGCCTTCAAAGCAACCTGGTTTTGGGGTTTTGAGACCCCAACCACATCCGGGATGTCTAATGGGCTTGGGTCTTCCATTGAAAGCCGAAGCCGATCGGAGCCTCTGGCTGGGTTGCAAAACCCCGGCGGCTGACGCATCCTCGCCTCCGCATGCAGCACTCGCCGGATTTCTCGGCAGGACTCCAGGTCCTCAGGGCTGCCGTGAGAGCCGTGAGTGTTCAAAGGGAAGGCTGGAACCAAAAGAGACCGCTATTGGTTGCGACATCTGCGAAGCCCTGCTAAAAGCGACTCACCTTTATAAGTGGTTTAATACGGAAAACACAGGAGTTGGCAAAAAGTGGAAGTCCGAGCATCCCTGGGCAAAATGCGCCAAAGTGCAGTTCCAGCTCTTGCACAGTCAAGAGCATAGGTGTCCTTTTTGGGAAAGTAGATGAGCCTGGTAGTTGATTGAAGCCCCAGGTAAGCCAGGGCCCTCTATTTTTCGACCAAATCAACCAAAAAGGACACCTATGGTCACGAGTCTTCATTGAGCGGTGACTCATGGGAATGGACTGAAGCGGACCTGCCATGCTCCACGAAATGATTGCGCACCAAAGTTCCAAAGCTTCCAACAGGGCAGCTGAATCAGTGGGCATGCGAGTCAACATGAAGAGCCTGGCAATCAAAAGGATCACTTTGCGGGGACGTCTTTCTTGGGGAAGCCCTTTCTGGGTGGAAAGGAAAACCAAAGGGAAAACCACCGTTTGGGAGTGCAACCTTCAAAGCAAGACAGACCTGGGTCTTGTCTGCCATGACTCGCACACCAACACTAGAAGAACCAAGAGGTTGGACGCCCAACATGGCACCTGAAGTTCAAAAGCCGCTTCTACTTGCAGAAGCTCTTCTGGGCCTCCGTCTTTGTAGGAGCTAAGTTGCCGGGAGATCCAAGTTGGTCATGGGATATTGCTTAAACCTGGCTTGCAACTGGCAATCTGCAACACCTGTTTTGAGCCAGGTGTGGCCTACGTTCAAAACAACGAAGGCGCAGGATGGAAGATATCTTGAAACATCACATCACTCGTAAGAGGGGAGATCCATGCAATTGTCCAATAAGGTAGTGCAACTCACGTCCCCAAGCGACCTGGACAAAAAAGCTTAGCCTTTTGAGACCTCCACTAAAAATGAACCAAAAAGAGAAACCCAACATGTCAAACGGTCGGCGTTGACCAAACAAGGCCCATTTGTATTTGTTTTTTTTCAGCATGATAGAGCTAGAGAAGCAACATGATCGGCGCCTCCGCTATCATCTCCTCAAGCTTCTCTTTTGACCTCCAGGAGCAAACCCATAACAGGCCATCTTCCTTTTGTTGCCCGGGAAATCGGAAACACGCAAGGGCAAATGGGTATGGGTCAAAATTAAAGCACCACGGGACCGCAGGTTTTAGTCCTTGCTTCCATGAACTAGGGTTCCAAAATGGATACCCAATTTTGACCCACAGCCAAATGGAAGCACAGGGGTGCGAATCGGGCCCTAAAAGAACAATACCCACGCTGAAGTTCCGCAGGATGTTCGTTGCTTGGTATCAAAGGAATTGAAATCCGAGTTTCCACAACCCTGCCTTGGCCCACACCACTCTTGGGGGTACACCAAAAATGCGGTTCTCCTTTTGGTGTCCCTTTAAACCCAAACAAAAGGCGGGTACCTGCAAAGAAAGACAGACCAATAGTTCCCAACCATTGCACCAGCTACGGGTGACCCTTTTCAGTGCCGATGAAACTTCAATACCAGCACACAACGACAAACATCAATCGAAATGTCTGCACAAACTAGATTACAACTAGGCACGGTAAGCAGTCCGTTAGCAGCAAAAATGCCTCTGGATTGCACTAGGGTTCATGCCATTCGGCCAAACCGGAAACAAACACCTGGAACATACACACACACACACAAACAAACAAACAAGCAAGCAAGCAAGCAAGCGAGCAAGCGAGCAAGCAAGCGAGCAAGCGAGCAAGCAAGCAAAGAAATCAATCGCTCGGGGAAAGAAATCAGTCAAAGAAGGGCATAAATCAATCAAATAGGAAAGACAAAAAGAGGAAAATATGAAATAAAGAAAGAAAGAAAGAAAGAAAGGAAGGAAGGAAGGAAGGAAGAAAGAAAGAAAAAGAAAGGAAGGAAGACACAAGCAAGCAAGCAAGCAAGCAAGCAAGCAAGCAAGCAAGCAAGCAAGCAAGCAAGCAAGCAAGCAAGCAAGCAAGCAAGCAAGCAAGCAAGCCAGCAAGCCAGCAAGCCAGCAAGCCAGCAAGCCAGCAAGCCAGCAAGCCAGCAAGCCAGCAAGCCAGCAAGCCAGCGAGCAAAGAAAGAAATAGAGCAAATATAATACCTAAAAACAAAAATAACAAATAAACATAAAAAAGAAAGAAATAAAGAAGGGCGAAAGAACAAAGAAGAAGAAAGAAACCAGCAGGCAAGCAAGCGAGCGAGCGAGCGAGCCAGCAAGCAAGCAAACAACAATCAAGCAATCAAACAAAACAAACAACAAACAATCAAACAAACAAAGAATCAAGCAAGCAAGCGAGCGAACAAGCAACCATTCAAACAAGCAAACCTACCAACAAACAAGCAAGCAAGCAAGCAAGCAAGCAAGCGAGTTAACGAGCAAACATTCAAACAAGCAAACCTACCAACAAACGAACAAAAAATCAAACAAACAAAGAAGCAAGCAGGCAAGCGAGCGAACACGCGGCAAACAAGCCCACAATCCACATGTTTGTTCTTTCGTCCTGTCTCTTGCGCATCTATGGCCCTGGCTCTTCCAATCGGGCGAAGGCGTACTGGTACGCCTTCCTGAGTCGACGTGGGAAAACCACTCGCGGCCCGCCCCAGCTCATGCTGATGCTCTCCGCAGAGTTTGCCGTTTTGGCCCTGGGAAAGTACACGAAACTACCTGGGCGACCGCCTTTTCTTCCTTGGGCTCAGTAGGGAATGACTCAGGGTATTGAAAATGAACCTCGGGATTCCCAGAAAGGCAACCGAATCGGGGATGTTTCATAGGGGGCATTCCCTCATTTCCTGCTGAGAACCAGCAAGTGTTCCTACTGGTCCGAAGGGAAGCCCAGTGGTGTTGGGTGGTAATTCCGGCCATTGCGAGGTCTTGGTCGGAAGGCTGGGTGTCTGGGGGACTCCTTTCAGGTCCATTCACCAATTGCACTTTGTCCGTTTGTCTTGCAATGGTTGCAAGTCCAAGTGACCCTAGACTTGTCGTTCTTCCGGGTTGGCGCCGCTCAACTGAGCAGCGCTCGAAACAGATTATTATCCAGTTCTACCAACATGGCCGCAAAGGTTTATAGTCATCTTAGCCCCCATGAAACCAGGTAACAACGGAGACCCCGAGGATGGCACATGTCTTTCTTTCTCCTTTCTGCCAAAAGGCTCTCGCGGCAGAATTCGACCGCCAATCACGAAACACACCGCCCTCGAGGGAAAAAAAAACAACGAAACGCAACAAATACTCTGAAACAAGCTGCTGCTGATGTTCTTCCGTCGATTTCCTGCCTGAATTTGCCAAAACGCTGCCACGGTGGCTGTAAAAACGCCGCAGCCAACAGCAAACAGGCGCCTCTTTGCAAATCCGCCTGCCGATTTGGGTGGTCCAGGTCTAGTTGCGCGCCTCTAGGCTGGTCCCCCGTACTAGGAGAAAAAAAACTCCGCTCTCCACTGGGAACAGCTCAACTGAAGGCTTCAAAGGGCAAGGGACTTGTCCACGGTGTCGTTCTTCTTGTCCGGGTGAACCCGCAATGCCAGCTTCTTGTATGCGGTGCGCACCTGCGAGCTTGGTTCATACAGGGGGCTGGCAAAGTCGATAATCTTCCCCGCCCCTGTTTTAGTTTTCCTTGAGGCATGTTTCACAGTTTGGGTCATTACCCAGGGAAGTGGATGGGGGTAGGTGTCATGTGGAGGCTGGGAAGCTCTTTCTTCTGATTGCTTTTACAGGGAAGCCCAAACGAGGACGAGTCAGGGGTCGAGGTGTTCGCGATTCCCCTTCAAACAGTGACATAGAAGCAGACTGCGTGAGGTACTGTACGGGTTGTTTTTTCCCCTAACAATCGACACAGGCAGCAAGCACACATTACATCTGGCAATCATCCTTGTGCTATTGGGTTGTGTCACCGAAAACCATTGTGGGTCATGTGTCACGCCCATTGCAATCATGCTATGTGTCCACTTTTAGTATTGACGCACAATCGAAGCTCCTGGAAATGGTCGCCTGCGACGATTCGAATCAATCGGCGATTAAATGATTTCAACACCGTCCCCCGAAGGGCCCCAATCTGAACTGTGTGGCCTCTGAAGCTACGATGTTGCAACGGGGGTCCGGATATGTCCTCAACATCAGCATGCCAACAGAAACCGGTGAACTTTCCCGGGCGCTTGCTTGAGAAATCAGGACATTGTCAACGCCGTTTAGTTTCAGAGGTGACTTGCGCAGTCGCCAAGACTCCCGGACCCCATCCCAGGGCCACGCAACAGGTGATGTTGAGGCAAGAACACAAATACTCTCTCTGTTGAGTTTACAGCCAACATCTCCAATGCAAGCATGAAAAGGTGCCACTGGACAGCTAGAGTGATGCTTATAGCCTTCCAAAGTGGGTCTCGATAAATGTGCGTTGGGCGGTGGGTACACTGGGGACCCGGTCCATCAAAGAGACCTCTCAAAGTCACCGTTCGTGCAAAAAAGGAGCCCCGTCCCCAAAACTCTTCTTGAGAATTCCTAATGGGAACCCTTGATCATAAACAACTGGTTGCTTTACATGGGGGTGCCCCCCCATTTTGTGTTTGGGGGCTTCCACAGTCCGGGATTGTCATCCATTATTCATGAAGCCGTACACAGGTGTGTGTGTGTGTGTGTGTGTCCTTTTTAGGGCCCCCGCCCTCCCCCCCCCTCCAAAACAAACCAAAAACAAGGTGGTTGTCCGAGTGGTTCCCCTTTCCACACCCACAAAGAAAGGGGAACACACCCACATATGGCGGCTTTTCGTTTGGTTCCCCTTTCAAGCCCACACAAAAGGGGTAGCCTCAGGAGAAAAAATAACATAGCGACATCCCTCTCAGCTGACTGATTCGCCTGCTTCACGTCCAGCTCATCCTCCCGGGTCAGAAGCACATCGAACCTAGGTTGCAAAGCCGGCCTTTCGCTGGCGCCTTCTTGGCAAAACATGTTTGGCATGGAGGAATCAGCTACACTCGGTTGCTTTCTGCTCCCCCGTTAAAAGTCACATGTTTTAGTGGTTGAATGGAAAACCCATTAGTTGGCAAAAAAAAATCCTAACATCCAAGCAAATGCAACCAAGTACAGTATCACTGAGGGGACCCAAAATACAGGTTATCAACATGCATGTATGGTACCCCCCGCTAAAAAAAACGCCACCAAGAAAAACATCACGGTATCTAGAGTACTTTTTGGGTGATGTCCACCCCCTTTTCAGGCACCCCACATTTGAGCATGTAACTTGTGCCCGAAAGCTGTAAAGCACTTTTGGATCTAAGATTCAAGATTCAGGATTCCCCGAATTCTTGCTCTTGAATCTTGAATCCATGAGCCACTTGGAAGTGTTTTTTTCAGGATTTTGGGGGCCCCATGGATTCAAGCTTCAAGGACCAGAGTAATGGGAACCTGGAATCTTAGATCCCCCCAAGCGCTTTAAAGCGCTAGCCGTCTGCTTTCAGTCAATCATGTTTGGTTGTTCACCATTTTTCGTTCTTTTGGGCTTTTTGCGGTGAATACAGTTGATAGATCAGCATATGGACATTGGAGAATTAGTTCCTTAGAACATGGCTTTAAGAAATCCACGCCAACCCTTGGATATTGAAAAAACAACAACGCTGTCAGCATCAGTGTTGTGCCTGCTTCTTATCAGTTTTTGTTCAGAACAGATCGTGCAAGGGAAAATATCTGTTTTAGGAGACAGCGTGGCATTGGTCAAGGCATATAAGATGTGAGCAGATGTTTTGGTAGTGGCCAAGGTTCGTGAGCTGACAGACAAAGGGAATTTGTAGATGAGTTGAGACGAGAGACGGAAGATGCTTGGCAGGTATTGGGTTTGTAAGTTGACAAACGAAGAGGATCGCACATTATTTGAGATGACACATTGCTGATGTATAGGCGAAGCGGAAGTGGCATTGGTTGCTTTACTGTTGATACCCTTGCACCGGTACTCTCACAAAGATGTTTTACAGTCAATTGAGAGATGCATGTATGAAATATTGTGGCTTAGATCCTGTGTATTGTGACACTTTACCTAACTTCGCTTTTACACCGTCGCTTTGCTTCTGATGCTATGTTCCAATCAACTGTGGACGTTAATTTTAGTTTACGACCAGAAGATGTATGAACTGATTGAGCAAGGATCAAAAGGAGGAATACCACATGCATATTGCAGAAAGCAGAAGCAAGTACTATTTAAAGTCCTATTGAATCAGCTGCGCAAGTCTGCCAACATTGTAAAGTGAGCCCACTTCTGGTAACCTCCATCCAAAATAACCTGACTTCCCTTACATAAGCAGCAAGCGAGGGTTTCCGAGGGGATGTGCGCATACATATATATATATATGTACTGTATATGGGTGTGAATCAATTTATGAATGCTCAAAAGGACAACCACCAGAATACCTTTTAGTTGACAATAGTTTGGGCTTCTGGGGGTTGAAGACTTGTTTTTCATTGGGCGGCTACTTGTCGCTTTTCGCTGGTAAATGATCCATTTTGGGCAAAGGGGGGGGGGTGGCGGCTTCGGCCTAAGTCTTTTAGGGAAAGCACCCCTTTGTAGGTTGATGTGTCGGGGAGTCCAAAGGGAAGACCGAAACCATTTTCAGGGGCAGCCTCAAAAGAAGACGCAACATGTGGGGGAGGAGAACTTAAACTACACACATCTGAGTGGTCCTGAGATCCCCCGCTACAAGTGACTAACTTTTAGTGGGTTTTTCTGGAACCGACTAAACACCAAAAAGCAAAAAAAAGCTAAGGAACCGGATGGATGGGAGCCACCAGGAAATGGATTCAGTACATTCAGCTCTTGCATCGCCATTCAGCGTAAGCCACGGCCTTTTTCGGGAGTAGGGAGTTGACAAAATGATGACGAAAGTTTTGGGGGATCTCGCCCAATGGTCTGGATCTGGCTTGTGCCAATGTAGAAAACAAAGCGCTCCCGGACTTAGGCGACATGCCTCCCTGGGGTCCCAATGGGACCTTCACAGGCGCTCGAAAAAAACTCAAGTGAACCAAATAGCTGTACTGATGTTCGAGATGCACGTGGAACAGCCCTGCGTGTGTGTGTGTGTGTGTGCTGTGTGTGTGTGTGGTGTGTTTGTGTGTGTGTGGTGTGTTTGTGTGTGTGTGTGTGGTGTGTTTGTGTGTGTGTGTGGCGTGTGTGTGGTGTGTTTGTGTGTGTAAGCATATTGTAAATGAAACTCACCAAACCGATTCAAACTTCAAACCAAGTAATCATGGTAGGATCGGAAACTCCATTTAGTGGCAAAGCAACTGTCCAACTCCCTTTGTTGACCAATGCCCCTCCTACTATTTCCCACATCCATCATTTGCAATCCTCAGTCTGCTTGCTTGGTGCCCGATCTTTTTGCGGGGTTTTAAAGGCACACCAACAGGAACACCAAAGTGATTTTGGCCGGGCCCCCTGAAAACAGGCCACCAGCTCCGTAAACTTCCATTTGCTCAAGCCACCTGGAAAAAAAGATATGTCCAGTAGTGATAGATTCATTTTAACACCAATAGTTGTTTTCCCTGTTTTTTTTTTTTTTTTTTTTTTTGTTTTTTTTAAACAACAACAAACAACTTAAGCAAATGGAAGTAACAACCGTCGTTCTGACTGTCCGAGCGGCACATTCGGCGCGCACAAGATGCGCTTGGCCTCATCCAGCAGATCCGGGTGCTGGTGGCGCAGCAGGCCGTCCACCACCTGTCCAGCTGAGGCGCCAAATGGGACACAAAACAAGCACAACATGATGGTGAAGACAAGACACGCGATATCTCGGTTGCTTTCTGCTCCCCGGCTAAAAGTTTAACTTTTGGTGGTTTGATTAGAAAACCCATTTGTTGGCAAAAAGTCAAAGTCCTAACATCCAAGCAAAATGCATCTAAGATATATCCAGGTCCATTGAGCTGCAATCGTAAGCTGTTCTAAGCAGTAGTGCCCACCAACTGGACACGGAATGGCCTTCGCAGCTGTTTCTCTTCTACATCCATTTCGGGTTGGTCTGTGTCCCTTTCCAAAAACTGAGTTTGTTGCTGGTGGGGCAATAAGCATAGGCAAAAGGTTTGTTCGGGTGATGCAGGGTGCCAGTTGCCTGCTTCTGTGATGACGAGTTCGGCACTTCAAGGATCTTCAAGGGGTGGTTCCCTACGAGAAATGGACAAATCCTCATTCCCACAGCCTTCCACAGGTTGGGTGGTTTGGACGACAGGTGTTGCCCTACAGGTCTTGCTGGAGCCGGTGCCCGCGTGATGCCCGTCTGGTGGACTCCAATCCCCACTTCCGCTCTTAAGGAGGTTCCCTTGGCTCAAAGCGCGTACCAGAAGAACTGAAATGCAAAATGTGTGCGGGGTCGAAGCATCCAGGGAAAAACCATTGAGGCATTTGTCTTTGCACGAAAAAAACACGTGTATATATATATATATGTACATATTCAATAATATATATATAGGTAGTCACCCACCATGGCAAGTGTGTTCATGCAAAAACCCGGCAACCCGAAAACCCCTGACTTTATGCCGGTCTCGGTCTTCTGACTGCGCACCAAGGCGCCATGCCGCCCTCCTGCCAGAACCTGAGTTGCTCCTCCAACTCATCCAGGCGCCCCTCGCAGTCCAGGAGTCGCGAGCTCGCCGCCGCCTGCCGGAACGAGGCGACACCTGGACACCTCACACGTGCGATGCGATTGCTCCTTGTAGGGTAAAATGAGGAATCCCGCCGGACAGAAAAACAGGCGAGGCGACACCTGGACACCTCCCATCGATGCGGCTGCTCCTTGTTTTCGGGTAAAATGGGGAATCCCTGGTTTGCGCGTGAAAAGACGCCAAGTAAGCGAAGGGGGACATGAAAAATGCAAAGGTCGATTTGGGCGAATCAAATAGGGATGCTCCAGGAAATGTTGGGTCTCCACTGCATTCGGCTACCCCCAAGCCACCATTCCAACAAGAAGCGAGTAGAGGCTGCTCGAAGGGAAGGATTGCCCAATTCTCTGCAACCGTGGAATCACAAGAACCAAACTCCTGCGTCAGCCGAGCACAGAATCTTGCAGCCAGTCAGTTGGCTTGGAGCTTGGGAGGGTGCCCTGTCCATTCAGTTTCATCAACAAACCAGCCCACCAAAGAACGGATGTCCGGTTTTTGCATAGTGTCTTCTTTCCTTTGGGGTGGTGTTCGATGGGAAAAAAAAACGCCTTGCCATTACCAGCACCCGGGTCCAAACATGTTTGCCTTGCTAACCATGTGAAAAATCCCAAGTGCCCAAAACAAAAAGTTGGGACCCTGGTGCTGGTACTGTGGATGGACCATATTCCTGCACCACCTAAGAATCCTTGGAATGATGGTTCCCCTGTAAATACCAACAAACAATGCTTTCCCATGCTAGGTCCTGAGAGGTTAGAATAAGGGTACAGTTTTTTTCTGTAGCCTATTTTAGGGGAACCCTCCCCAAAAAGTTGGCAAACGGGGCACTACTGGGGGACCTAGCATGGTTTCAAAGTGGTGCAGGATTCCACAACAAAAAGCTGGGATGTTGGTCCTGCTGGTGCGATCCCCTGACGCCAAGCGCCTTGCCCTCGCCCTCCAGGAGCAGCACGCGGCAGTCACCCACCCCGGCCACCAAGAACCGATTCCCCAGCAACAGCGCCACCAGAGCGGAGCAGCCGCCTGATGGCAGTGGGTCAAAACCCAGGCAACCCCTGGTGAACACCAAAATTGGTGGCACATGGGTGTTCATCCGCCACAAAATGGAGGCATAGGTTATGACCCATGGGCAAATACGAAACAGTGAAAAGGCGGTGCCCTTGTGATTTCCCTCTCAGGCCAAAGGCCCGCGTTCGCATTGCTCCCTTTTGGTTTCAATCAAGGGACCCGGCCCGGAAAGGAATGTCCATGTAAAATTCTGGGGCCAGAGGGTCCCAAGACACCCATGCTTTCATGCTTTGCTTGGCGTCCAATGATTCGCGCTGGAAAGCCGCTTCAAATTAAATGAAAGAAAGTCGTGTTCCAATCTGTCCATAATCTGTGTTGCGCCAAAGGAGGCAGCCATTTCAATAGGTCTCGGGCGTAAGAGAAACAGTCAAGAGGTCAGGTTGCGCTACCATTGGGGGCAACCTGCTACCAGTGACGGATGTCTAATTGCATGTTCCTGACGCTATACAAGCAAATGTCTGTTACGAGGGAAGTGCAGTGCTAAATGTCACTTTTTGCAATGCTGCTCCGTCATACGCTAACAACAGCAAGCTGTGGATTCACGCATTCAGCATTCAAGCTACAGTGCGGTCGAGAAAAACAGTCAGCTAAGCAAAAAGTGCTATTCCCGTATTGAAGCTGTTAGAACTGGCGAGCGCGCCACAAACATACCGGATTATCCGGATTCATCAACTTGATGGGATGCTTCCTCAAGGAAAGGATCCCACCGCCTTCATCAACCGGGGATTTTGCCCCTCTCCCTTTCCAGTCCAAAATTTGAAATAAGTAACCAAAGCTAATTGCCAATACTTTTGCCAATCCTAACTCCTTTCATAGCCTCATGGGTTGCCACTCCAGAAATCAAGAAACGACTGGCCGGAAACAGCAAATGCCTTAAACAGCAAATGCCTTATTGCAAGTTGTGACGAAAGCAAGGTTTGACAAGCTTGTGCAGGGCGCAACCAACGTCACAAAAAGGGTGCACAAACTGCCGATGAGCCACCAGACTTAGGCAGAAGAGGGGAAGAAGACAGTGTTTCAAACAGCTTTGGGCCCATCCCTTCTGCCCAGATTCAGGTCTCAGCCCGCCCGAAGCCGAGCAGCTGAAAGGGAAGGCGCTCTTCATGACCTCCTCATCCATCTCCTTGAGCGTAGCCTGCCACTCGCCGCGGCCCGGCCGCTCGCGTTTTTCGGCTGGGCTGCTTCAAGCGCCGAAAAGTTGAACAACTCAAGAAATTTCTCGAAGCTGCCCCTGGGAACACACGCGCCGATTTAAACAATGATGCCCCCATGAACCCCCCGCGAAACGGAGACGCGGACAGATGGCGCAACTCGCCGGCTGGGCGGCGCAGCGCGCGACCCATAGGGCTGACAGGCACTTCCCTTTCACGACGCGGTCGCAAGTCGCCACGAGTTGCTCAGTTTCTTTGGCTTTTGTCATCCTGTCACTGCAGTCACGATGCTGTTGGTCCATCAGTTCAACGCTGGTTGGAGGGCAACTGCACATGCGGCGCATGTGGGTTTGGATGCTCCTGGCTGTCCCGAGCATCGCAATCGTCGAGACGTTACCGTTGGGCATCCTATAGCATATGGCCAAACACAACCTTGTTCTCCTTGATCGTCAAGGTGTCGGGTCCGGCGACTGAGTGGAAGTAATTTTCCTAAGCGCCCGAATTTGCCAACCCAGGTCCTAGCATCATTTGCTCTGTGTCTGGTGAGGCCATGTCCAAGCCCAGATTGGCGTCGCATCTCCCTCTGTGGCAATGAGGGGTCGCTTGCCTCTCCGCAAAGGTCAAAGGTAACCTCTGCCTTCCGATCGCTGCTCGTAGCAGCTTGGGACTCCTCGTCTCGTGCATGGCGTTCCCAAAGTAAACTACGAAGGGTTTCCGTTGCAGGATGTTGGCTGGCTAAGCACAAAAACTGAGCAGATCGTGTTAGCCCAAAATGGAACATGGGGTCAACACCTGGCAACCATTAACCGCGTATCCTGAAGACTGGGAGCGTATCTTGCTTAAACCTCTATTCTAAGCAACTTGTAGCTCACCAACCAAGAGAAGCATGGGTGTATCGTGTAAGCCACTTCAACTTGTAACTCACCAATCTGAAAGAGAAGCTTTCACAACACGAGGGTGAGGTCGCAAATCCCCGATTGCCCAATGAATTGGTGGCTTGGGCTGGTGTTTGAAGAATGGGGCCTCCATTCGCCCTACATAACAACCCGGGATTGAACAACATATATACAGTCATGCTCCGTCCGCGTTTCTGCCTTGCAAGACCTGGCTTGGCAAACAAGCACGCACTATTGCCCTACATTAAATGACATGGTCTTGCGCTCCGACAGTATGGAACGCTCTGAATTGTCTGCTCTAAGACAACTCATTCTTCTGTGGGATGCGCCCGTTTTGGAGCGGAGCGCCAAGGATTTGATACGGCCCAAGACTTGCAAAGGACCCGAAGCCGAACAAGACCCACGAAGCACCGAGATGCCGGGAAAAAGCTGGGCGCGTGGGCACCTAGCTGAGTTGGGTGGGTATGTTTTGGGGCGGAAACAGATTTAGGAAAGACTCCGCAGGCATGCAAGTCGCTGTAAATCAGCTTCCTCCTACTGGTGGTTTGGCTTGGTGGTTTGGACAAGGGAGCTGGGGTTCGGATCCCCAAACCACCAATCCAAATCACCAATTCAGTGCTGGTGCTAAGAAATCTAAACCAGCCTTATTCCAAGCCTTTTTCCAAGCCTTCAACAACCACCCACTCCACAGGGAAAAAAATCCACTACCATGGCCAGGGGCAGCTACCAGGGGCAGCTACCTAGTACAGCTACCTAACATGTTGGGCTCCTGGGAAACCCAGGCGACTGCAGACTTACATACATCTCTACTCTTGGTAATTATGGTAGCAAAAAACTTTGCTTTTTGCAGACCCCCAGTAAAAATGAACAGAACCAAAAGGCTAAAACAAAAAAAACAAAAAACAGGCCAAGAACAGCGAAGAAAACACCCAGGCGACCGCTTCCTAATCGGAACCCCTCCCCGCCAGCTCAGGACCAGGAGACCGGGGCTGGCAACAGGTTTGGTGCTGGACCTGGGCCTTCCATTCATACCTGTTTTTGTTGCTCGCTTTTTTTTCTGCTCGAATGGCAAAAACCGGCCGATTGACAGGGGAGGCAGAAATTTCAGGTACGTTTGAAGGTCCAGGGACAATATGTGCTGCTGGTAGATGACTTGATTTCAACCAAACTGAACAAAACGCGTCCCTCATCGGCCCATGGTCACACAGCAACGCGTCCCTCATTTTACAGCCAGATCGGCCCATGGTCACACAGTCGGTCACACGCCCCATACTGTGCATGCACGAAATCCTGCACCACTTTGAAACCATTGAAAATCATTGTTGGTTGCTATCCCAGGGTTTCTTGCGTGCTGCGAAATGGCTTTCGTCCACCCGCAGTATGTTTGTTGGAGGAGAGGTAATCTTTGTTTGTTGAATTATGTCATCCTAATGCGTGTTCCTTTTCAGGGTGGCTCACCACACGGTGCCAACGCAGTTCGACGAACCGCGCTTTTCGAAATCCACGAGCCTCCAAGACCTCCTGAAGCTCCTGCGGGGTCTGGCAGGGAATCCCCCCCTTTTCCGTCGGCTTGTGCCAGAAGTCTGGTTAGTTGGTTGGTTGGTTGGTTGGGTGGGTGGGTGGGTGGGTGGGTGGTGGGTGGGTGGTTGGCTGGTTGGTCGGTTGGTTGCTTCGTTGCTTGTTTGCTTGTTCGCTTGCTTGCGTGGTTGCTTGGGAGCGTAGTTGCTTTCCTTGCTTGGTTGCCTGGTTGCTTCGTTGCTTGGTTGATTGCTTGGTTGCCTCGTTGCTTGCTTGCTTGGTTGGTTACTTGCTTGGTTGCTTGCTTGCTTGGTTGCTTGCTTGCTTGCTTGCTTGGCTGGATGCTTTGGTGCGCTTGCTTGTGCTTGGTTGCTTGCTCGGCTGCTTCCTTTCTTGCTTGCTTGGTTGCTTGCTTGCTTGCTTGCTTGCTTGCTTGCTTGCTTGCTTGCTTGCTTGCTTGCTTGCTTGCTTGCTTGCTTGCTTGCTTGCTTGCTTGCTTGCTTGCTTGCTTGCTTGCTTGCTTGCTTGCTTGCTTGCTTGCTTGCTTGCTTGCTTGCTTGCTTGCTTGCTTGCTTGCTTGCTTGCTTGCTTGCTTGCTTGCTTGCTTGCTTGCTTGCTTGCTTGCTTGCTTGCTTGCTTGCTTGCTTGCTTCGGTGCTTGCTTTCTTGGTTGCTTGCTTGCTTGCTTGCTTGCTTGGTTGCTTCGTGGCTTGCTTGCTTGACTGGATTGCTTCGTTGCTTATCTGCTTGCTTGCTTGCTGCTTGATTTCATGTTTGGGTTCTTGTTAAACAAACAACTGTAGACACGGTATAGTTTCGATTGATTAGGAGAGCCCCTCAACCGAAGGGTACCACTGAGACTGCTGCTCACGTGCCCCGCAACTCACCAAAGCAGCAGGATCCCAGACACTGTGAATTCCTCAAATGTTACAAATGAACCACTCACTAACCATGTCTTGCTACTCTGGCTTCCAGTCCAGCCTCTGAGCATGTCTCTTGGTGCTCCATTCACGGACAAATCTAGGGAAATTTTGGCCCCATGGTGGCATCCTTGTGTTACTTGTCGCGAGGAGGGCATGTGTCACCGAGCTTCCCGTCACACGTGGGAAGCAAAGAATTTCCACAAAAGCAGGGGCGGGTCCCCTGGACAACGAGGGAAACCTGCAAAAGACAGCAAGAGATATCGGCTTTTGCGGGCTTTTGGGGGGCGATCCCCCAAAACCGGGGCTTGTAAACCGGCTCAAGGACCTCGGTCTTGTAGACGTGGATCTTCTCGGCCAGTCGGGGCAGCAGCTTCTTGTGGAAGTTCCTTGGGGTGCGGCAGCTTCATTTCCGCCAAGTCTTCAAGTTGGGCTTCTCAAGTGGCGAAGCATACCCTCCCCCACCCACAGCCACACCACTGGCTGTGGAAAAGTTTTGGGGATTTCCCAGCTTTTCATGGCTACACTCTTGGCCTTTTTTGGATGGCTCTTGTTTGTGAGATCGTCAGCGCCAACTCACAAGGCCCCGGTCGACCACCTGGGGCACCCTTGGGAGTGGTCCTTGAGCTTCGGTCATGGTTGGGTGTTATTTCTCTAGGGCACAAAACGACACTCGCCCGGGGAAGAATTCAGTCGGAATCTCGGCATCGTTTCAACCCATGGCCAGTTTGGGCCATGTTGTCTGGCCTAATTAGTTTGTCTTGAAAAAGATATTTCGGAGGTATCGGCTAACAAAAGGATCGATCAAAAAACATGTATTCCCGCAGAGCTTACCGCTTGCACGAAAAATCATTGTGCCACAAACCCTGGCTACATTTGGTGAATACACCCTTAGCGATAATATTCACGTGCTTAAATATGTACACTGTCTGCACACATACCATGATCTATGCATGAGTCATGGGGCAAGGCAAAACTTGATGCATCATACACAATCACAAACGAAGACGCGCTTGCCTCTGTTCGCTACATCCGGAACATACCTGCATGCACCCCCAAACGAGCACAAACTTCCGCTCGAGGGAAAAAGTGACCGTTTCTCCCAAAAGCGCTCGCTTAGGCAAAATGCGCTTGAGGCCAAATAAGTGCTCGAGTGAGCGCCCTTGCTTGCGCATCATTGCATGTTGGAGGAGCCAAACCTGACGCAAACTCATCACGACTGCCTCAATATGTCACATTGGTGCACAGTGGACAGCGCATGATATCTTTGCGCGCTTTTGGCCGCGGAACAACGGACCCACTGACACTTTCTAGGATTGCGCTCGGTTGCGGGAAATTGCGCTCGAGTTGCGGGAAATTGCGCTCGAGGTTGCGGGTTGCAAACTGCCTCCAACATGCCAAAATGCGCCAAACATGTGAAAGTGTATTAGGCTGCCACTAAACACGCGTTTGTTGCCCGAACAGCACAGCTCCAGCAACCGCCTTATCCCACCCCCTGCTACACGGAGAGTTTGGGCCCTAGAACAACTCACACACTCCAAAGCATCCAAATCCCAAAGTAGATTTCTGCTCGAATTGCCATCTTTTTCCTACAAAGTGCTAAGGAAAAAGTGCTCGTATGAGCAAAAACCGCTCGAAAAGAAGTGCTCGTTTGCCACATTTGTTGTGCTCGTTTCGGAGTCAAGGTTGGGCTTTTTTTGCTTCCGCAAGAAACACACAGTCCCAAAAGGGTACCAACTTTTGTGTTCACAAAACATGCCTTGGTGCCCTTATTCTTTGTTCTTCCAGAACAAATGCTGGCTCACAGCAGGGAATGATGGAATGACCCCCTTTGAATCATCCCCTATGCTTTCCTTCAAGGGAATCCCCCTCCAGTTCATTCCCAACACCCGGAAGGTCATTCGCAGCAAGAACAAGCAACAACAAAACAATGAAAAACAAGAGAAAAGCCGAAAACCACCAAAAACAACAGCCAAAAAAAAACAACGGCACCAACCACAAAAGGACAACGAGAAACCGCCAAACCCACCGCTCGTTGCATGGGGCCAGGCGCTCCGCACACCACTGGGCCGCCTCCGGGGTTCGGAGGCCTTGGAAGAGCGCCTCAAGCGTCGAAGTCCACCGAGCTGACGTTTCGCTTTTGTGTTTTTTGCTCAACCAAATACATGGATATACATATAGATATATACATGTGTGTATGTATGCATGCATGCATGCATGCATGCATGTATGTAAGTATGTATGTATGTATGTAACACCGCATGCATGCATGCATGCATGCATGCATGTATGTATGTATGTATGTATATATATATATGTATGTAGGTAGGTAGGTAGGTATGTAGGTAGGTATGTATGTAGGTATGTATGTATGGAAATATATATATATATATATATATATATGTATGTATGTATGTATGTATGTATGTATGTATGTATGTATGTATGTATGTATGTATGTATTTATGTATGTATGTATGTGTATATATATATATATGTATGTATGTATGTATGTGTGTATATATATATGTATATGTATGTATTGTACTGATTGTATGTATGTATGTATGTATGTATGTATGTATGTATGTATGTATGTATGTATGTATGTATGTATGTATGTATGTATGTATGTATGTATGTATGTGTTGTATTGTAGTGTAGTATATTGTATTGTCTTGTATTGTCTTGTATTGTATTGTATTGTATTGTATTGATGTATGTGTGTATGTGTGTATGTATGTATGTATGTATGCATGCATGCATGCATGCATGTATGTATGTATGTATGTATGTATGTATGTATGTATGTATGTATGTATGTATGTATGTATGTATGTATGTGTCTGTGTATGTATGTATGTATGTATGCATGCATGCATGCATGTATGTATGTATGTATGTATGTATGTCTGTCAATGTATGTATGTGTGTGTATATGTGTGTGTATGTACATATATATATATATATATTGCAACATTGGTTTAAACAAAAACAAGTCCCAAAGACGGCATCTCAAAACAAGCTCAGGTATGACATGGGTGTTTCTCACAATAGGGCCAAATCCTTCAGGGGGGGCGCCGCAACATCCGGGTGACATGGGCATTCGCGAAGTCTTCGACCCGTGGCTGTTCGACCGAAGTCTTTCGGTTTCCCCGTGGCTATTTCAATTTCTCTATCCGGGAGGTCTCCGTACTTCTTCACGAGAAACACCTATGAAACAGCCAAACAACCCAACAGCCCAACAAGCCAGTAGCCTAACAACCCAACAATAACCCAACAATAACCCAAGAACAACCCAAGAACAACCCAACAGCCCAACAACACAACAGCCCAGGGTTCTTTGGCTCCGCGTCTCGGCGTCTCGTTTCGACTTTCGGCGCTCGCTCCGAGAATACGAGGCGCGAAGGCGGAGGCAGGCCGGTCCACGAAGCTGAGGGGCAACTTCAAGGCCAGGCGCGCGATCTTGGTGACCTCGTGGTCCCGTTTGCTTTGGAACACCGCGTCAGCTTGTTTTCTTCTTTGTGTGGGTATGTGTTTTTTGGTTTTGGGGGGGTGGTTTGGGTTTTGCAAAGTTGGGACCGCGTGTTCTTTTGTTTTTGGTTTTGGGGGGGGGGGGATTGGTTGGGGTTCCCCAGCTTTTGTGGGTGTTGTTGATTTTGATTTTTATTTTTAGTTTTTTGCCCTGGAGGGGGGGGGTTGGTTTGGGTTGCCCAGGCTTTTGGTTTGGGAAAGCCCCCACCCTTTCGGCGAAGGGACCACCCAAAGGGTGTGGGTGTTGTGTTTGTCTCTTTTTTTTTGGGGGGGGGGGGAGGTTGATTTCGCCCGCGGGAGCAAACCTCAGGCTTTTTTCTCACCGCCGAATTCAGTATCTTAGCCCCAAAAATGTGTCTGCCCAGACTTCACTGTGGCCTTCTATAAACAAAGGCCGCCCATAGCCGAATATTACTGATTGCGGCCTTCTCATTTGATCCGAGCGGTACAAACTGGACATTGCTCTATCCTGCATGTCAGATTGTCGAACGTTGCCAAATGGGGCGTGTGCCGCCTTGTTGCCGGAGGTTCAACCAGGGGTCCGGCATACTTGTGTCCACTGGTCAACTGCTCCGACCAATCCATTGCTAGCGCCGGGATGATGGGCAAGGCCATCACGAAGGAAAGCAAGTGTTCGAGAAATTGTGAATTTATTCTGCACAATCATCTTGTGCTCCAATCAGAGCTAACTGGGTTGCGGGCACATATAGTTGTAGCCTGGATTTGTTCAGTCCAACTGTACAGAAAACTTCACTCAGTAAATTCTAGTGCATAACCGTATGGCTTTGAGCAGTGCGCATATATCTATATATATATATATGGGCGTGGCTCAAAATTATTAAACAGGAGGGGTTACGCAGGTGTTGGTCCATGTGTCCACTTGCCAAGATTCCATATATGTATGTAGATAGATAGCATGATGCCACCCATCAAGCGCTCGCCTGTTGCACAGCTCTCTGCATCTCTGCATCTCTGGTTACAGCCCTTGTGCGTTGGAGTACACTACTCCATCCGCACAAATTTCCGCACTTGAAGGGTCAAAAAGTCTAACTTGCTGTGGGTCCAATGGAAAAAAGTCTTTCAACCAAAAAGTCGAAGTCCAAAGTTCAACCAAATCGCCATAAAGTTGCGTCTGGTCATTGCCAAATCATGGTTCAAAAGGTAGGCTACAAAAGGCATTGGTTTTATTGGGCACCTGAGGTACCCTGTGAATCATCTAGGTCAAACCATTCGGCAAATCAGGCAGCCTGCCAATATTGCCGCCACACCTCGTGGACCCTTGCTATTCATGGGCTCCAGGCATCATTCAGCATGACGGCTCTGTCAAACTTGACGCCCTTTCCTTGGCAACATGACGACATCCCGAGCTGGAGGGGAAAAGCCGCGCTTTCTTCTTTGCTAGTTCACAGCAAAATTAAGGGAAGGACCCCACTAAACCATCCTGAATCCTTGTCGTTTCCGGGAAGGGGACCCCAAACATCCCCAAACGGTTCATTCCCGACACCCAGAAGACCATTCCCTGCCTATCGCACCAAGTCTTGATGGCTAAGTTTGTGGATGTATGTCCCCATGAAAAAACCGGAGCATCACAATCCGGAAGGCTTCGAACGGACCAGAATCACCACAAAAGCACGGGGTCACTGGACTTCAAAAGCTGCAATCTCCTGGTCAAATCCCATGTTGGCTATTTTTGGAGGTCCGACCAGGAGGGGACAAGTTGTAGTGAGCCCCGCCAAAAACCGCCCTATAGAGGACCTATCATAAAATACAGATTCTTCCAAAAGAGGCACCTATGGAGCTTGCTCTTCAGAAGGGATAAAAGTAAACAACTCACCAAGCAACTACCTCACTGGAGCGGATTGCCTATATATAACAAATATCTCCATTTGCATGTGTTTGACCCTGGCCCCCTGGGAAAAAAAACAAACAAACAAACATTTGTTTGCTCCCACAAATACCTCCATTTGCCCCTGAAAGAGAAGCTGCACAGATTCATCCCAGCCACGCACGCAGGAGGCACTCGCAGCGCGAACCGTAATGTCGTACTCCTGCGTAAAATACCACGGCCGGCTTCCTATGGCCCCAATGATGACCATGGGTCATTTGTCCCATGCGGGACGAGTTATATTTTGACAGGTTTCTCCCAATGGGCATCTTGTGTAAAGGACCTTTGATCAACCCCTATATGTGCCATGTGGGATTCACGGCCGCTGAAAGGGGTACTCCATTTTGCTGGGGTGCCTCAAAAAAGGGTGTCCCTGAGAAACGCACCGAGCTCTCGACTTAAGTGGACGCTCCGCCTGCAGGACAGAGCCAACTAGCCAACACTTACTTGTGGGCCTCAGTTCTCCGCCCTTCGGCATAAAGAGTTCTGCAAATGCTATGAGTCATAAGTCATAAGAGTATTTATGATGTTCCGCCAGTCTTTGCCTTTTGACACCCCCTGATGGATCAGCTTTTGATGCTCAGGCGGCATCCTACATGTCGGCTTGCCTGTTTAGCTCACTGACCATGCTGATAGACCAAATCCAGGCTCTTGTCTGTCCGGTAATTTCCTCACCGACATCCCAAGCTCCCTTATTTTGCAAGCTACCTAACCCCCAACTTCCCAATTTCATTAGGTGAACCTGCTGGTCTGAAGCTGGGGCTCCCCAAGTTTCAAATTCCGAAGCAATCCAGGCCCTTCTTGGCAACATTCTATTATTCTGGTCGATGTAGCGACAGTTGCTACACTCATTCGTGCAAAATGATGTCAAGAGCCCCAGTAGCTACCTGAAGGAGAGCGTTTCCTTGTGCGGGGCCCGGTTTGCTTTTGGATCCTTTGGGGAGGGAGGGCCAACCTGGGAGGGACAAGTTGGCCAAGGGACCTGGCTCTTGTCAAAAACACACGGGTTGTGCCTTGCCCAAGGCATGCCCTTCCTAAAAGGGAAGGCGCCGATCGATCCCGCCCGCCTGTGGGGCATTGGGCGGATCGATGTCCACCCACTCCCCGCGAGTGCCACGGCGGTAGTACTTCCCAGCCTGGAGCAGCTGCCGCCTTTTTTGCTTCTCCGGTTCTGCAAGGAAGCCCAACTGGAACAAAAGGACAATGCTTGCAGCGTGGGCAAAGTGCGACAGTTCACCGACCGAGAACGAAGGAATTCAATGAAGGGATCCTTCAGAACGCAACCCCAACTTAAGCGCAACCCGCCCTTGCTGCAGGCTTTTAACCATGGTTGTGAAGCCAAAAGCTTGTGTCTTGGTTCTAGCCATGTCTAGCGACCACAATAAAATAAACCCATAGTTCTTGCTTTTGTTCTGAACAAGTTAGGTTCCGGATGGCAGTTCCAGGTTCAAGAACATTTCCTCAGGTCGAGGCTTCAGGGATACCAGCCCCACCCGCAAATACAAAGGTCTTTCCCTGGTTGCTTGATTTAGGTGTAGGGAATGACTACTCTGGGCAGCACCCGGCATAACTTTACTCCCTGCTTACAGGGCATTGGCGATTTCATGGTCACCAGCAAATACTAGTTTAGTCCGGCCGGGCCGGGGGGCGGACGCTCCTTTTTGTATTTCTGACGTTTTTTTTGTCTCTTTTTTTATTTCTGCATTTTTCTTTATTTCTTGTTGTTACTTCTTTACGTGTTTCTGATTGCGTTTACTTAGCTATGTCTTTCTGTGTTTCTTTCTTTCTTGCTTTCTTTTCTTTCTTTCATATATTTCTTGCTGGAGTGACCTTCGAATTGAACAATTTGTTGGAACGTTCCGAAACCAAATCAAACAGGTGGGGACTTTGCCGCGCTTACAAGACACCCCCCAACCATGCGGAGAAGAGCTAGGAACCGTCTGCCTGTTAAGTTGAAGCCTGCACATGGCGTCCACCAGCCTGTTTCATTTAGCCAAAAGGACAAGGGCTTAGCCCCCATCCAATACATATTCCTAGCACTGACAAGGAAAGCAGGGCCTGCAGCTAACTAGTGGAAGTGTGCGCGCCTGTGTGTGTGTGCGTGTGTGCGCGTGCGCGCGTGTGCGCGTGTGCTCGTGTGCTGGTGTGCGGGTGTGCGGGTGTGCGGGTGTGCGGGTGGGCGGGTGCGCGGGTGCGCGGGGGTGCGTGCGTGCGTGCGTGCGTGCGTGCGCGCGCGTGCGTGCGTGTGCGTGCGTGTGCGCGTGTGTGCGTGTGTGCGTGTGTGCGTGCGCGCGTGCGTGTGCGCGTGTGTGCAGGTGTGCGTGTGTCCATGTGTGCGTGTGTGCCTGTGTGCGTGTGCGCGTGTGTGCATGCGTGCGTGTGTGCGTGTGTGCGTGTGTGTGTGTGTGCGCGGGTGTGTGTGTGTGTGTATGTGCACGTGTGTGTGTGTGTGTGCACGCGCACGCACACACGTGCGTGTGTGTGCACGTGTGTGCGTGTGTGCGTGTGAGCGTGTGTGCGAGTGTGCGTGTGTGCGTGTGTGTGTGTGTGTGCGTGTGTGCACGTGTGTGTGTGTGTGTGTGCGTGCACGAGCGTGTGTGTGCGTGCACGTGTGTGTGTGTGTGTGTGTGCACGCGCGCGTGTGTGTGTGTGTGTGTGTGTGTGTGTGTGTGTGTGCACGTGCGTGCGTGCGTGCGTGCGTGCGTGCGTGCGTGCGTGCGCACGTGCGCACGTGTGTGCGTGCGTGCGTGCGTGCGTGCGTGCGTGCGTGCGTGCGTGCGTGCGTGCGTGTGCGTGCGTGCGTGCGTGCGTGCGTGCGTGCGTGCGTGCGTGCGTGCGTGCGTGCGTGCGTGCGTGCGTGCGTGCGTGCGTGCGTGCGTGCGTGCGTGCGTGCGTGCGTGCGTGCGTGCGTGCGTGCGTGCGTGCGTGCGTGCGTGCGTGCGTGCGTGCGTGCGTGCGTGCGTGCGTGCGTGCGTGCGTGCGTGCGTGCGTGCGTGCGTGCGTGCGTGCGTGCGTGCGTGCGTGCGTGCGTGCGTGCGTGCGTGCGTGCGTGCGTGCGTGCGTGCGTGCGTGCGTGCGTGCGTGCGTGCGTGCGTGCGTGCGTGCGTGCGTGCGTGCGTGCGTGCGTGCGTGCGTGCGTGCGTGCGTGCGTGCGTGCGTGCGTGCGTGCGTGCGTGCGTGCGTGCGTGCGTGCGTGCGTGCGTGCGAGCGTGCGTGCGTGCGTGCGTGCGTGCGTGCGTGCGTGCGTGCGTGCGTGCGTGCGTGCGTGCGTGCGTGCGTGCGTGCGTGCGTGCGTGCGTGCGTGCGTGAGTGCGTGCGTGCGTGCGTGCGTGCGTGCGTGCGTGCGTGCGTGCGTGCGTGCGTGCGTGCGTGCGTGCGTGCGTGCGTGCGTGCGTGCGTGCGTGCGTGCGTGCGTGCGTGCGTGCGTGCGTGCGTGCGTGCGTGCGTGCGTGTGCGCGCGCGCGCGCGCGTGCGTGCGTCCGTGCGTCTGTGCGTCTGTGCGCGCGTGCGTGCGTGCGTGCGTCTGTGCGTCTGTGCGTCTGTGCGTCTGTGCGTCTGTGCGTCTGTGCGTGCGTGCGTGCGTGCGTGCGTGCGTGCGTGCGTGCGTGCGTGCGTGCATGCGTGCGTGCGTGCGTGCGTGCGCGCGTGCGTGCGTGCGTGCGTGCGTGCGTGTGTGTGTGTGTGTGTGGGTGTGCGTGTGCGTGTGCGTGTGCGTGTGCGTGTGCGTGTGTGTGCGTGTGCGTGTGCGTGTGCGTGTGCGTGTGGGTGGGTGTGGGTGTGTGTGTGTGTGTGTGCGTGTGCGTGTGCGTGTGCCTGTGCGTGTGCGTGTGCGTGTGTGTGTGTGTGTGTGCGTGTGCGTGTGTGTGCGTGTGCGTTTGCGTTTGCGTGTGCGTGTGCGTGTGTGTGTGTGTGGGTGTGCGTGTGCGTGTGCGTGTGCCCGTTCCTGTGCGTGTGCGTGCGCGTGCGCGTGCGCGTGTGCGTGTGCGTGGGCGTGGGCGTGCGCGTGCGCGTGCGCGTGCTCGTGCGCGTGCGCGTGCGCGTGTGCGTGTGCGTGTGCGTGTGCGTGTGCCTGTTCCTGTGCGTGTGCGTGTGCGTGCGCGTGCGCGTGTATGTGTGCGTGTGCGTGTGCGTGTGGGTGTGTGTGTGTGTGTGTGCGCCTGTGCGTGTGCCTGTGCCTGTGCGTGTGCGTGTGTGCGTGTGTGCGTGTGTGCGTGTGTGTGCGTGTGTGCGTGTGCGTGTGCGAATGTTTGTATATATGTGCGTGAATGTGCTAAACGACTTCTACGAAAGCAGTTGTACAGGGAGTATGTAAATATGGCAAAAGCCAGCCCGTCCCACTCGCGTTGCACATGGCTCGTTCATTCATGCACCTAGCCAATCTAGCCACAGTGAATGGTCATTGTGCCCAATAATGAGGGCCCCCAGGTTCAAGATGGCAATTGAGTAGGTGTACCCAAGGCGTCCTGGGAAAATAAATGGCGCCGGGACCATTTGGAAACCAGTATGAACCACTCACTTCTCTCCTGCAAAGCCGCAGGGCACCCCAAGCAATACCACCAATGCTTAAGCAACTCCCTTGTGGGCGACCTGCGGTCTCTTGGCCCATTGCGCCTTGTCTCCGCTTTGCACAAAGTACACCTGGCCTTGGTCGAATTTGACCAGCGGTGGCCAAGCGCTTCAGGTGCCAGGTTGATTGATATCAAAAGCGCCAGAATATCTTCTATTGTCGATCTACGCAAAAAATATTGCGATGTCCCTTCAAGATCGACAGAAGGCAACAACTCGCCGATTCGGCAAATGGAAATCACAGGTTGTGCACAACACGGTTGGGAATTTGGCTGGGCTCGAGCAAGCTTCTGCCGCATGCGTTACCAAACATCCAGCCGGGCTGCGAAGCGGCTCAGATCTAAGAAGCAAAAAGCCCTGGGGGTTAGCCTTTCCATGCAATGAAACATGCCAAGTTCCCGGCATATCGCTTTGTATATATGAGTCATAGTCAAGACCCGGTAGTTAAATGATCTTCCCAGAACCATGTAAGAATTTAGAAGGCGGCCGCAACTATTTCTTACTGGGACTGCACCTGCTAACCTTCATCTACCCGGGTTTGATTTGTGGCTCAAATGTTCACAGTTGCAAACCTTTCGCCGCTTTGAGACGCTTCCACACACCATCTAATTCTCCCGTGTGAACACCTCGCCTTGCTTCGCATGAAGCTTCCCAGCCATAGGTGGCCTCTTGTGAAAAGTAGATGGCCCTGGTAAATGGGGCATACACGCCATCTAAACCAGTGCAACCCATCTATTCTTAACCAAACTAAGCTACAAAGGCCACCTATTATCCCAACATACAGCATGGCCGGACCTCCTGTCCAGAAAAAAAGAAACGCATGACCGGAACGCATGGCCACAACGCGTGCTCCCGCGTCCAACTGGGATCCCCCCATATCACCACGAATCGCCGAGCAACTGTGGGGCTGTACTAACCTGAGCGTCTCAGCATGGTCTGGCTGAGATCCGAGACAAGGGTGATGCCTAGACATGGCCTTGCATAATGTTAACTTTAGATCGATAAACTGGCCGGATTAGTCAAAGGCGCTTCTAAATCAAGGGAAATCTTCTGATAAGCAGTTGTTCCAATTAGAAATGACACTATCAAGGAATAAAAGATCCTAACTTTCAAGCAGCCCAAGCCGGACGCCCCTAAAACAAGGGACACTCAAAAAGAGAGACAGAGCGAGAGAGCGAGAAAAAAAGAAAAAGAGAACGACGTAAAGAAATAAAGAAGCACAAAAGAAAGAAAGAAAGAAAGAAAGAAAGAAAGAAAGAAAGAAAGAAAGA